TGCCGCCTGGACACCAGGAGCAGGTTGTCTTCTTTTATTTTTGTTATTGGCAAACAGAATAAAGGCTCACTGATGTCACATCTGATAACCACAGAAGCAATCCAGTGTCAAAAACAAAGCTTTACACCTGCGTTCTTCTAAATGTCCAAAAGGGGGCAGCTACTCTGTATAGAGGTCTTTTTTAAAAATATTTCATTTTTAGAGTCAGATGCTGATTATCCAGTTTATGCACAGTCAGACACATCTTTTATATACAGTCTATCGCTAAAAAAAAGGGAAGATGTGTATAATTTAAAACAATTTTTTTACTGAGCAGTCAAATAGTCATCCAAACTGTCACATCTGTTCCCGTTTCTCACCCTATTAAAGTGGGACAGCCTCGAACACTGAGCTGGACAGTGAATGAAATGGATGGGTCAACAATTATTCTTAATCAGAAGTTAGTTGGGTTAAAGGGGGTGGAGCTAAAACAGCTCTTCTCAGATGTGTTATTTTGGACTTGCAAAATACTCCAGCAGTCCTGCGCAGCTGGAAAAGAGGGTGTCATTTTAACCATCTTCAAACCGCAGCTAGCTGTGCTCTGCAGAAATGATAAACAATGTTAGGAAACAATGAGCTTGAACTAAAACCTACTTCCTGCTTTGACGTGCTTCTACTCTGTGCTGCTGCTCTTTGTACAAAGCTTCAAATATGTCAGTTAGACAGCTGCTGTGTCAGCATGGTTAACAATACATTTATGTCAAGTACAGTAAATGTGCTAAAGGCCACCCAATCACACACCTCCAGGAGTGTTTCCAAAAAGCAGAAGGCACCTGTAAGTGTGCTACATGTTTCCCTGTGTCCATCGATTGGAAGTATTCTGGGTTGGCAGTTTATAAAAAGCCACCTGACCGAGTTCTGGTCGGATGTGGAGGCTGAACTGGAAGACAAAGGAGGAATGGAAACAGGCCGAGATAGGAATGCGTCTGCAGGTTGTTTGTCTCCCTGCAGGGAGCTGGATCACAGCAGAAACAGCTTTCCTTCCTAAGAACGACTGCTCACAGTCACACACTGCGCAGATCTCAGACGGGTAGTTAAGTCTGAGAATGTCAGCCTGACCCTCTCAGAATCAGCTGACTGCTTTTTTTTTTT